GGCCCATTTCTTCCCCACATGTTAAAAGAAGAAAAGTATAAGCACTTGAGCTCTTGAGCACTTGTTTTAATTTAGTTGCATCCAAATTCAGAAAAATATAGACCACAAAAATGTCTCCTGCCAGTAAAATTAGAGAGAGCTTTAAACTACCCTTAGAATAACTGGATCTGATTAGTTTAAACGGTACCCTTTAGCAATTAACTTCATCTGCCAGTCTTATTGGATTTAACAGTTTTGTAACATGCTTGATTATGGAACAGTATTCTACCAATAAAAGTTAGTATTTCTCCCTGCGTCTCTTTTCACCTTTTGAGAAGAGACATACTTGTGTTGCTTTCCAGGAGCTGACAGGCAGTTCTGTTTAGGCACACTGCTCTATCTTGGACACACACACGCACGCACAAAGAAATACATGCAGAATAGAAGCAAATGTCTTCGCTGGGAAAATCAAAAATGCCATTTGTTTTTACTTCTAATAATCCACCGAACAGCACCTGAAATGAATTGCATCTGTGCCTGCTGTGTTGCCAAGAACCAACCAAAGTCAAATTCTTCCTTGTGCTTTATTTGCTGTTTTTTTTCTTTCTCTCCCTTCTCATTTTTCCCCTCATTGCTTTTTTGTCAGAGCAGCACCTGGGCCATCTGCTGGCACAGACTGGCAGCTGTATGGCATGAGAGAAACCGGTGGCACACCACCCATCTTCTGTTATTAGTAACTCAGTAAGATTTAGAGAGGGAAAGTGCATTGTGGGGCAGATGAGTTGGAGCAAGTGTTGTAAGGAAACAAGCAGAGTTCCAAAAACTGGAGCCAGAGAACCAGGTTCCAAAAACAAAGTGGTGATGTGTTTTCTCTACTCAGCTCTTTTAGTTTCTTGCCTACTCTTTTAATCTCTGTTGCTACAGTTCTACAATCCTACATGCTTGTTGGTTAGCACATAGCAACATCACAGAACGTAAATGCAGGGGAAAGATATTTAATAATAGGAGATTTAAAAAAAAGCTGCCAGCATTTTCTGTTGCATGCATCAACATAGTTTTGTGCCATTGCTTTTGTAGTTTTATAATGAGTGGAACGCTTCATTTTGATTTTTGTGGTGTTAATTTCATAACCATAACTGACTGTAAATACTTGGCTGAGGTTGGAGAGATGGTTTGAGGTTGCTGGGAGGTCAGCTGTGCTGTGTGGCAGGAGGGCTGTTTGAGCAATGGAAAACAGAGAGGCCGACGCAGAGGCAAAGCAAAGAGAAAAAGTGATTGGAATAAAAGATGAAAAAGTGCAGGGTAGACACAAGCTGCTTACACCTACCTGACCCTGTGCTTGCAGCCCTGAATTTGGAAATTAGAAACAAAAAGATAGCAGGGATGAAGGAATAAGGCAGGGGGTGAAAAAGGTGAACACAAAAAGCTCAGTAGTAATTATATATAGTTTTGGTTGTTAACTGTGAAAAAGGCCACTTGAAGCTACAATAGGGGCCATTGATCAGCACATGCTGAGCATCAGAGCTGGCTCCCATCCAGGAACCAGGTCTTTCTTAAAGCCCAAGGAAGAAAAGAGAGACTGTTTTATGTAAGAAAAGGAAAGAAACACACATAAACATACACCCCCTCTGTTCTCCCGCTTCGTTTATTCACATATACAGTAGTATATGAACGTTTGCAGATGCCAGGCTAGAGAGAAAGACAGAAACATGCATGCATTGCTTCAATCACAAGCACTGTGCTTATCTGACATCAGCTGTATATCCAGTCTCTCCTTTTACCTGGAGCCCTTTCAGTGTTCACCCTTGCACTTGCAGTTAGGTCCCATCGATTCCCTTCCATATTGCATTTGTTATTTTGATAAATAAGAGGTTAAACCAGGCTTAACTCCTTTAAGAAATGTGTGTATATTAGGTTAATGAACATGAAAATTCAGAACACATGAAGAATAAAACAGTGGAGGAAGGAAAAAGTAATTACAGCCTCTTTACCTGCAGGGAGTTCAATGTTTCTCCAGTGTTTTCACTAGGAACTTTGCTTTCTCAAATCGGTATAATAAACCCTGCATGACATGTGTGATGCTGTTTTATATTGGTGCAGTTAGCGTGGGGCCTTGCACAACAGTTCCCAACTCTGGGCCAGTAAATACATGTGTTTATTTGTTAGTGCAGGAGTGTGAGTGTGCATGCTGCATCAATCTTCTGCCAGCATGCTACTAATAAAAAACACGGGTGGTCAGCGCCTTTTTTTTGTGTGGCTATACAAACAATGCTTAGCCAATATTCTTAAACCAGTGAGTCATTCGTGGTTAAATCCACTTACTGTCTGAACCTGAGTGTTTTTTTTTATCATAATTTTTATTTCCATTTTGCCTCCACGCACACTGCTGGTAAGGAAGAATTTGAAGACCTCTCATCCACTGAAAGCACACATTAAATGGTAAAAGTTTGTATTGAGTGGTGGTGCACGGTAAAAACAGTCCAATACTTTTATTCAAATCTCCTTGGAAATCATTTAAATCTGGATGATTGCAAACCTTATAGGCATACAACAACAGAGATCTTGGGATGGCGGTATCGGTCTGTCAGTGGGTTGGTCACTCCACCACTTTGGTCCATTCTGGAATATCTCAACAGCTATTTGATGGATTGCCTTGAAATTTTGAACAGACATTTGTGGTCTCAAGAGGATGAATTCTACTGATTTCGGTGCTCCCCTGACTTTTTCTTTAGCACCACCAGCAGAGTAACGTTCCAGTTTTTGGTTTGTGACCAAATTACTGAAAAAGTAAATGACATTCCCATAGACATCAGCTGTTATATGTGTTATCGCTAATTAGCAAATTGAGATGGTGTACATCAACATGTTAGGACTGTAATTGTGAGAATTCTGATATCATTTAATTCAAAGCCTCTCAGTACTATTTGCATGGCTCTAGACTCTTATTCTTCTTATTACGCTTATCAGACATACACTCACATGTGTAGAGACTTGGCATTGTAACACTATTGAAAAGAACTGCACCCAGAATACTCCAATACATGTGCATATACACATGCACTACTGCGTTTGTTGTTATAATATCCAGCATAATTACATCTGTACTTCTACCTTTGTTCCCCCCTCTTTCTCTTTCCTGGACTCCCCCTCCTGTGATCTCCCCCCTCACCCCACTGAGTAATGACTTAAAAGAGAAGGGAAGTTAATGACAAACATAATCCCCCCTCTTGCCTGTCTACCTAATCCTTCCTCTTACAAGCAAAAGATGGAAAGTACAAAGGAGGCTGGTTTTATTTTTGGATATTCATTTAATGATAATATCACGTTTTTCACTTGTACAAATAAGTTCACATAATTTTAAAAAAACAATGCGTGAAAATAAGGAGCTTCCCAAAATCAATAGGGAAAAATTAACAATCACATTGAAAATACTTTTGGTTATCTTCAATGTATTCTGTTTTGCTGACAAATATTCCAGTTGTAATGTTTGACAGTTTTTTTGCAGGGCATTCTCAAGACACTTTCTTAGCATAGAACTGTTAATTGTGCACTAGAAATACTGTAGATAACTTCACAGGGATTCACAGATGTGTCTTTGGTCTGTTTACCAATAGGTATAGTTGTCCGGGGCTTAATGTCCTCCATGGGGTCACAGAGACAGAGTAATGTAATGTCTGCAAGTCTTTGCACAAGACTGAACATGTACTTGCATTATCACTGAAGTTGACAGACCTACACACACACACACACTCTCTCATACACACAGGCACATATAACATGTTACTTTGAGACCTTCTATGCCCCATATTCACAGATTAATTCAAAAGACTTTGTCTGCAAAATAACTTTCCCTTGGATCTCTCATGTTGCAAGTCTCAGAGTCCACAACAAAAATTAACACCATGGAGTTTGCTGTGCTATGCAGACCATTATATAATCTGGTTAGGTGAAAGTGAGCAAAACCGGGACCCTCCTTGCCAGGGGGGAAATGTGCACAGCATTATGCTTAGCAGGCCATTTTTACTCAGCGGAAACCACTATTTGTTTTGCTTGTTGTCAGCCAGGCCAAGTAGCATGTTGTACATGAACTGTGGTTGAGGGATAAAACTGTTTCCCTTACAGGGAATATAAAGCATAAAGCCTATGAAATTCTCTTTTCTACTGTGGTGTAGTGGTGTGACTGTTTACTGTAATTAAGGCAAGCTCTAAACTGGTTGGAATCCAGTGCAGCACTGAAAGAGAAGGGGTTCAGTCAACTGCTTGCTTTTGTACGTTTGTAATCCTGCTTACCTTCTCCCTTTGTGATGGTAAAGCACACTGAATAAAGAAGGGGATTTAATCTAGAGTCTGTCCAGGTTCACATCTACTTAGTCTGTCTGACATTCTGGGGGCAAAGCCTTTTGATTGATTTGACTGGTACCAACCAAGATTTAATCTTCAAGGATTTTAATCTGTTGTCTTGTCTGTTAGTCATAAGAGGTGGGGGCAGGATTGTATAGAAGGCTGTTAACAGTCACAATGCTGCACAGTAAAAATATCATAAAGACACAGGTATAAAAATACACATATACAAAACCAACAAAAAAAAAAAAACCACAACAGAGCCAAATAAAGTAATACAACATCTTTGCACAACTTCATTTGGTGTCTTAAAGATCATTCACAGCAAGCATGAATCCTTTTGGGGTAGTAATGAGGAATTACAACATTAAGCAAAAACTATTGCTGATAGTATTTGTAGCTGTTGTGACAAGGGAAAAGGCAGCACAGCCCCATTTCAGTGCACACTCCTTTATGCATAATTAAAGGAGGGCATGAGGTCAGTATGTCCTTTAACCCTAGGTTTCAGCCAATGACAACACATCATCCATCCCAGTATCATAACATGGGAGCTGTGAGGTTGCAAGTCCAGCAGTGTAAATGAAGAAATATTACCGAAGCAGCTGTGAGGTTGCAAGTCCAGCAGTGTAAGTGAAGAAATATTACCGATGCAGCATGTAAATGGAGCAGAGGCACTTTCAATGGTTTTAAAAGTCCAAACAAACATTTTTGAACTTGTTTGTCTGCTTAGACAACCAGAGAGCATTGAGTTAAATATTTGTCCAGTTTCAACTTTGCTAGTTGACTGGCTGATAGTGTGTCCTCCACTTCACTGATCTCTGTATTTCACCAAAACAGAGTCAAAACACAGCTTAAGTCTTCCTTTAGTCAAATCCAATTGTCAAAAGTAGGAAGGCTTGTGTAAGGACATATTGTTATTTGATGTACAGTGATCCTGCAGTAGCAACACTTCATATTCCAGATTGCCACTGTGAACAGCAGGTTCAGGGATCATAAGTTGGGGCTGTTTTTGAGGCAGTGCCCCATTGTCCAAGCCATCCTTAACTTTGTCCAACTCTAGCTCGGGGAGCTCACGGTCTAGGTCCAGGTGGCCTTTAGCTCTCTTCCTGCGAAGATAGCATACCACTCCCACTGCTGTTGCTATCAGTGCCAGCAGAAGCAAAATGGCAACAGACGGCACCAGCATAGTGGTCAGCCTTGGGTCTGTGACCCGTGCATCAGGACCACCAGTGCTTTCAGGTGCTGTATGGGCCTCAGTGCAGACACTGTCCACACCGCTAGGGGCACCAAGTGGACTGGCACACACAGTGTAGGTGGAGTTGGGCTTCAGGCCTCTGAGGCGATACTCTGGGAAGGATGCTGGCAGGCTGAGTTGAATTGGCCTGCGGTCTGGTCCAGAGAGATTGCGGTAGGTTAGGCGGATTCCACGGATGTAAGGCCGCAATTCAATGTAGCGATGGAGGTCCAGCAGGATTGAAGTTGAAGTTGCTTCATGTGAGCTGATGTCTGGCACATCTGCAGAAACGGTTGCTATGGGGATTTCAGCATCAGGTGGTGAAGGCTGGCTTTGGATTTCACAATACCTGCCAGAAGTGCCATGTGGACAGGTACACTCAACCTGACCATGCTGGCCCAAATGACAAGTGCCACCATGCAGACAGGTGTGCGAGGGACATAAACGCTGCTCCTCATCTGGGTCCATGCTGCTGCTACTGGGGGATGCAGGGACAGGGGGCAGGGGAGAGTCATCTTTGTCTGTAGGGTTGTCACTGGGTCTGGGGATTGGAATAGCTCTAGTAGTACTTGATAAGGTAGTGACAGAAGCAGGCAGGGTCATAGTAGTTTTGACAGTACTGGTGGTCACTGTAGTTGTAATAGGACAGCCAAAATCCCTGTACTCTAGTCTTTCCAATACCTTTCCAGCACTGACAGGTGGGAAATGGCAACGGGTATCCTCTGTTCTCTCTAGGTCGATGCTCTGAGTTCTCAGCCATCTTGGAAACCATGCTAAGGTGCAGAGGCAGTTGAAGGGGTTCTCTGCTACTGTGAGTTTTCTTAGGTGGGGGAAGAGGTTGGCAAATTCTTCAGGAAGGCCTTGCAGACTGAGACTACTAATGTCCAACTCCTGCAGCTCCCCAAGGTTCTGGAGGTCCTGAACCTTAAGAGGGCCCATCGGGTTCCCAGCCAGGCGGAGGTAATTCAGCCCCTGAATCTCTTTTAGCACTGAGGGGAAGGACTCAAGTTGGTTACCTGAGATGTCCAGTTCGTGGAGGTTCTTCAGACTACTTATGAGCTCCTTATTCAGGCTGGTGAGCCCCACCCCACCCAATTTCAGTGACTCCAGGTTTGGGGTCTGAAGGTCTGAAGGACCCAAGGTGGGTAAGACATTAAACCGAAGGTCAAGTAGCAGGAGCTGGGGCATTGAGAGAGCTGGCAGGGATGTCAACTGGTTGCCCTGCAGTTTGAGTTCCAGCAGGTGCTCCAGGCCATTAAAGGCTGCAGGGTGGATGTTTTTTATAATATTACTATACAAATAAAGACGCTCAAGCAGTACCAGACCCTGAAAGCATTCTTCTGAAATGTGGGTTATCTGGTTGGATGACAAGTCCAGGTTTTTCAAAGAGGTCAAAGGTTCAAACACCCTATCTTGGAGCTTAGTCAACTTGTTTTGACTGAGGTCCAGCATTTCCATGTTCTCCAGACCATCAAAGTCCTCCGCTGTTAAACCTTCAATGCCATTGGCAAATAGGTAGAGGCTTTTTGTGGATGGCGGCACTCCTTTGGGAATGGTAGCGGAGCGCCTTTGGAAACATAAGATGGATTCTGGCGAGGAGCAGGCACAATCCTTTGGGCAGTCGCTGCACCAGATGCCATCAGGAGGGATGAAGAGGAGCAGAAACGGCATCAGCAGCTCGAGAAAGACTTCCATGGTGCAGACTCTTTCTCTCTCAGCCTAAAACAAGAGAACATTTAAACTGTCAACAACCTAAATTGGATCATTTGGAGAAATACATAGTAAATGCTGAATGACTGTAAACTGTATCCACAAGTAGTACATATAATATCACTGGCCTATGTGACTTGTGAGGGTCCTGTTTGAGATTAAGAGCATACAATTGTTGCACCAAATGTGACAATGTTGAATTTCTTGTTCAAAGCTTATTTTCCTCCCTATAAAAACTAGTTTTCCCACCAGCCTTGATCAGCTGTTGATTCACTGTGTGATACTTTAATATTTGTTTCATGGGGTGAGATTACTATCAAAGGTTTCCTCATACATAGCCAGTGATCAAAGGCAGTATTTGGCGATAAGGTCTCTTAAACAATAGGTCTATAGTCTTGAACTCGTGGTACTCGCTTAAGAACCCTGTTTTCCCTGCAGTGATCAGTGTAATAGATATTACTGTGGAATTCCCCTGACCATAGGTGAAATAAACAGTCTGACAACCAGTGCTACTTGACTGAAGTGTTGCAGTACAATGTATTGCAGGATATCAGTATGGTATAAAGGATGAACTTTACAGAGATCATCACTGTAAAAATATGTCAATGAGTTTTAAGCCCATTTCACCAGATCCTAGGTTTTACAGAACAAACACCGAGGTCAGAACACAGAGTGTCAAAACAGTACTTGAAAGGGCCAAAAATAGGGGAGGGATGATGGAAAGGAGAGGAAGATAGGAATGAGGGGAGATAACAAAGAAACTACTTGCTGACACGTGTGGCAGTTTATCATTGTCTGCTCTTGAGTGACGCAGCCTTGGAGGGACGAGGCAGCATCTCAGTTTATTAACTGTTTCTTTTCATTCTTTCTATTTTTTTTTTTACTTTTCAAGGAGTCAACAGAAAACTCCTTATACACTATTTGTCTTTAAATTAAAAACATTTCCATGATATGCTGCAATTCCTTTTGTTAATATGATTTACATGTATTGTTGTGAGAACAGTGAGTCTCCAAAACCTTGCTTTTTGAGCATTTTTGACATCTGCAAGAACCATATGTTGGTTGACTTGAATGCATATTTTAGAAACTTAAATGCACTGCAAAGCACAAAAACCTGAATGAGAAGCTAAGTATGTATGGCTTGCTATACATGTATGATTAATATTTGTTTCAAATACACAGAAAGCTCACAAAGTATTGTTGTACTTTTGTTTCATTTACACACTGGTGTCAGTGCCACCAAAATGAATTTAAGTCAAGTACATGTTAGTACAATAGCATCAGAGCTGCTGACAGCTATAATAATTTCTTTTTTAAGTTCTTCTTTTTTCTTTCCATTTTTATTTTCTTCACAAAATGTCAAAACTTGGAGAGATCAAGGTTTTTTTTGGGGGGGAGGCAGCAGAGACACGGAGGAAGGACCAGTATCATCTCATCACACCACAGCTATGGCATTTATTTTCCTTTTCTTTCAACATAATTTTCCTTCCACTCTTCCTTGAAATTGCAATCTTCTTGGAAAGATTCCCTGATCTCTTATTTTTCCTCCTCCAGTGTATACACTAACAGTAATGATGGCATTCTCTTGAACTCCATTGCCAACACGTTACTCTTATTATCTGGATAACTGGCAGAAATGTTGTTCTGCGCAGCCAGTAAAATGACCTCAAGGCCTGACTGAACAAAGCAGTTTACTAGTTTTCAGACTGAGCACCTGCTAACAGCACAGAAAAACAAAACTTTGGCAGCCATGCATAAAAGTTGAACCGACTTGTTGCAATTGTTTATGGAAAGTCTTGACTAAAAAAATAGCGATAACATCTGATGGCGATAGTTTGCTGTTGGCTATAGCTCAGTGGGTAGCAGAGGTGATGGGTTTCAATTATCACATAATTTACACTCAGTGCATGGGGGAATTCACTTTAACAGGTGAGGAATTTGGTTTACAGAATTGTAAATAATTTGGCAAGAATGTGTTTTTTTTTTTTATTGTCACAGAGAAAAGGGCAGATTTCATTACAGGGGTCAAAAATGGTGGAGGTGCAGACGGATGAAGGAAAAGAAAGAAAGGGAAGTTTGGCTGCAAATGTGTACAGAACAAGTGAAAACAAAAGGATTTGGGAAGATAAACAGGAAATGAAGGAGATGGAGGAATCAAGCAACAGCTGAAGCACATGCATATGGTCTCAGGTTTTCATAGTGTAACTGGTGTTGAGTGCTGCATTTCTATTTCACTGCTTTACTAACATTATACATATTTACAATATGTTAAAAAGGTTTGTGTGAAGGAAGTAAGGTATGTGTTTGAAGTTGTCCAAAAATCCATTTTCATTCCTTCCGGAGATGGAGAAACTTTACTTTGGTACAGTACAGTGTATCAGGGCCAGAGACGGGTGAAAGGGTCCAGTGCCAGAATATACAACAACATCAAGGCAGCCATGAGAAGATGGAGAGCTATGCAGATAAAACTGAGAATATTTTTCTTAGACACTCAACATGGTGATTCTACCGTAGCTCCCCACGGCAGAATGTTTATTTGAGTGTGCCTCATTCCAAACTGAGCCAAGCACATCTGATAACCCAGTGGAGGAGAAACTGTGGTTGGGGAGGGCAGGTTCAGTGCTTACTGCCACATCATAGATAAACTGTCGCTTGATAAATTGTTAGATTCCTCAGTTTTCTTTCTTTTTGGATATGAGTGACTTGCGCAGGTCTTATCGGTGTAAGATAAGGTACAACTGTGGCGTCACTACACTATGGAGCCACATACTGAGGTGCTGAGTGACTCCTGCCTGTGGGGCTTCAGTTTGTGTTTTGAAGTGATTGGAGGTGGGCGACGCAGAGAGGGAGGGAGAGAGAAACAGAGATAGTAGAAAGATGAGCCTGTCATCTAGTGTGCCCTCCCATCTTGCCTTCCTCCTCCTTTCTTGAGTTGTAATTTCCTCTTCTCTCTCCTGCACACTTGTTGAGACATTCTTGAGACAGGCAACGGCTCTGGTAGAAAAAAGTAAACTTGCTTGTCTCATTGATTTGGCATTTGGAGATTAAAAGGATGTTTTCTAGGCTTTATAAACAGGCGGTAGATTGAATGAATGATGGTGCTGTCTATATAAATTAGAGTAAAAACATCTATATGACTAGATCTCATATATAATGACTGTTCATTTGTTTGAGTCTAAGTTTACGGGTTGTAGAATGTGTTGGCTATTGCATATGTGAAATCATCCAAGGGCAATAAACAGAGAAAATACAAAGCAAAGACCACGGGATTGTCTTTGCACAACGCTATGTAAAATACATGGTCTGTCCCTTGAAAAGAAAGAAATATTAAATAAGCAATAAGAACAGGCAAAAGGAAGAAAAGCCTTTTCCCTTTCCCTCAGCTCACTTCTAATCCTGTGTTTTCTTTCTAAGATGAGGAGGAAAAGGAAACATAAGCAGGGGAACAGTGGAGACAAAAGCAGGTTTCAGTCAACAGGAGCCCTGGGGTGGAGAGAAGGATAAGGCCTGGCTTTGGGAGAGTGAAGTGGGCTTGAGCAATTAAATCCCAACAGACCAAGCGTCAAGAGCTCTTATCTTCATAGCTGAAGGCCAGCACTGAGGGGCAATGAAGGATACAAGAGAAGGTAGAAAACTGTAGTATGTGTGGCAAGTCCTCAATGTTCGAGTCCGAGTTAAGTCTCGAGTCCCCAGTGTTTGAGTCCGAGTCAAGTCAGTGACCAAAGAATAATCTGATTTAAGTCCCTGTTACCTCTTTCAGAGTCATCAAGGTCTGCATTAAACACACCATTTTATATTCCAAACTGTGTATTGCAGAGGTCATGCTAGACTTTCTCCTTGTTTGTCATTTTGACGGATATGGTCATAAAAATTCTGCTATAATTTATTATTACCCCTCAATTTAATTTTCATTTTCATTTCATTCTTTAAATAATTAATATATGGAACAAGCTAATGTGCAGCCAATTTTCATGTAAACACCACAAAAAGCAGATGACTTTATTTGGCAGTGAGGGAGAAGGCCATTAAAAATCCTGCAGCCAGTGTGCACTGGGTTTCTCAGGGCCCTTAAAATTTTGATCTGAAAGCTGAATCAACGCTATGCTGGACTTACCAGCTCCACTTTAGCTAAAGTTTTGAAGTTGGGAAACATTTCTCTCTGGAAGTGATAAGTTCCTCTAAACGTGAGATTTACGGATCCTGACGCACTCACTTCAACAGGAGGAATCAGCTGGGTGCGCTCCTTCTGCACCAGGGGCACAGCTGCACCCCCCTGTGATCCATAGTGGTCACAGATGCGCTCCGTTGCCTTCAGTTCATGGCTCTTCAATGGGCTGTCAGCTCCCAGATAGCGAGGTGCATTGAGTAGGTCTCACTTGTCCTTCATCCAGGAGCTGCAGGTTGGTATGCACTTGCATAATTCAGCACACTGGGCCAGAGACTACAGGGGGGCACCACGCCAAGTCACAGTAAGGGGATAAGGCTGCAAACTACAGAGTGCATACTCCCATTAAAGAGGCCCCTTCTCTTCTGGGACCTTAACTCTTAAAGGAACAATGCTCTGCGCATTCGAGTATGATTTGCAGTGCTGAAGATCTGGCAGCTCAGTTCACCAGGGTGCACTAGTAAAGTATATTATTATAACAACTCCTTGTGGATTGACTACAGTAGCACATGGGCATGACTTAACATTGGTAGTGAGTTATAACTAAGCACCCAGAAAAATGCTGGTGATGAAGGCTGATGTGAGCCATCTGAGCCCACCTTTTTATCACTACTCCCTTTCCCCTCTCTATTTTGGGCCCTTTTTCCTCCAAGATCTTATCGGAAATACAAAGGACCACTCCTTCAAACACATACTCCCCATATTCCCATCCCTTTCCATTGTCAGCATCGTCCGTGCCACAGCTGGACCCTGTTATCCACAATCCAGTGGGGTTAACCGTCAACATGACAAAGGGGTCAAGAGAGAGATAGCAAGAGAAACGAGAGCTGTGTAGAGTATCTGG